AAAAATTAATAGATCATGTAAGAGGGATCAGACATTCTGGAAGAGAGGATAGTTAGCAGTATTAAATAAGACAGGGTAGCTACACTGAACAGATTAGATCTGAATAAATACTCAATGAAAGCACAGAAACTAAGAAATCAGATGTCTGAAAGAGCATTTTAACCACAGAGAAAGTCCCAGATGTGTGGGTTCCTGAAACATTAAAGGAACTAAAGCAGGAAGAACAGGCACAGATAGCAGAAATTGAGATCAGAACATTGCTGAGGGTGCAGGCAGGCAGGTGGGGGAGTCCTCAGACCATGCAGGCCTTTGTAGGCCATTGTAAAGACTTTGGGTTTTGCTCCCATGGAACTGGGGAAGTAGTGTGTGGTTCTGAGTAAAGAAGTAATAAGATCTGACTAGTGTTATAAAAGGAACACTTTCGTTTCTCTGTTGGTAATAGACTTTTGAGGGCAAATACAAATGAAGGAAGACCAGTTAGAAGCTACTTAAGTAGTCCATGTACAAAATATTGGGTAATGGTAGGTCAGGCAAGAGTTGTGGTAGTTTGAACAGTAAAAAATGGTTAGATTCTGGATATAAGTTGAAATAACAGTTTCTCACACATTGAAAGTGAGTTTCAAGGAAAGGAATTTTAAGGATAATTTTCAGGTTTTCAGCCAGAGCATATGGAAGGATGTTGTCATCAACTAAGATGGAGAAAGTTGGTGTTGTTTAGCAGGTGTAAAGGCAGGAATCAGGAGTTGAGTTTGGAAGTGCTGAATTTGATTCATCCTCTACATGGGGATGTCAAGAAGGCCATGGGATGCATAAGTCTAGAGTTCAGGAGAGAGATCTGGGTGGGAGATATACTAGTAAATCCAGTTTGTGTCAGGTTTAGATGGTTCTCAAAGCCGAGATGAGCTCAGAGACTAATGAGTTCATCAGAGAATGAGTGAGAATAGAAGGGAGAAAAGACCTAAAACTGAGTATGGACACTCTAACATTAAGAAGTATACAAGTACAGGGAGGGGGAAAAACTAGCAAAGAACACTGAAAAGTCATAGCCAGAAAAGAAAAACCAGCAGGAAATGATGGGCAGGTGTGCATTCTGACCAATGACTATCACAATGTGGAGGTCATTAATAACCTTGAAATAAATATTTTTATGAACAGGAGCAGGGAAATAAAAGTGTTTGGAGAGGTTTAAGAAAAAATGGGTGGAACAACATTGAAGAAATTAAGGACAGACAAATCATGCAAGGAGTTTGCTGTAAGAAAAGACCATGAATGGAGTGTGGAGAAGCAGAGTCAAGGGAAAGTTTTTATCATCATAGTATCTGAGATATAATGGCATGCATGTATGTTGGTAGAAAAGGCTGATTATAAAGTAGAGAAAGGGAAATTGCTTCTGCACATTCTTAAATAGTGAAGAAGGTTGGTGTCCACACTACAGAAGGGGAGATTTAGGTAGGAGCATGGTGCTTCACGTATGTAACAAGTAGAAGGAAGAATATGAGAGAGTGCATGCTGAGCGGTGGTATGAATGATACTTGGAGTTATTTCTGATGGCTTTAATTTATTTTGGTGAAATAGGATTCAAGATTATCAACTAAGAGCAGGGGGGTAGAGATATTGGGGATTCAAGACAAAAAAAAAAGGTTTTGAGATAATCACCTGGAATGGGACAGTAAACAGAATAAAAATCCAGAATATAATTGTCGGGCAGTATTAAGCAACTACTTGAAATTTGTGGTTATAAATAAAAGTGAAACCAGCACACTTATCACTTTTTCTGGCTGTGTTCAGATGCACAACTACAGGTACAAAACAGGCTGATTTTAATTTAACCAGATTTGAGATTTTGCTAAGCCAATATGATGAATCAAGCAAGGGCAGAGGAGTCCAGGGCGTGTGTAAGTGATTATAATGAATCACCACAGATTTTTAACTAAATAACAAAGGGAGTGGCCATCAAGCAGAAGAGAGACAGTTAAGTGGTGGTCAGATTGAATGGAATGATTTATTGAAAGTATGTATGTGACTGAAGGACAGTTGAGGTCAAAGTAGTAGAGGGAGTGGACTGGAAGGAGGAAGTGATAGAGAGTAAAATGCATAGATTAGAGATTAAATTTCTTTTTATGTTTTTCAATCCTCATTGGAGGATATTTTTCCATTTATTTTTAGAGAGAATGGAAGAGAAAGGGAAAGACAGGGAGAAATACAGATGTGAGAGAAACACTTCAATTGGTTGCCTCCTGCACATGCTCAGACCAGGAGCCTGCAACCTAGGTACATGCCCTTGACCAAAATTGAACCTGGGGCCCTTAGGTCCCCAGGTCAATGCTCTATCCACTGAGCAAAACCCACTAGGGCAGGAGTTCTCAACTTGTGGGTCGCCAACCTGTGGGTCGTGACCCCTTTGGGGTCAAACAACCCTTTCACAGGGGTTGCCTAAGACCATTGGAAAACACATATATAATTACATATTTTTTGTGATTAATCACTATGCTTCAATTATGTTCAATTTGTAACAATGAAAATACATTCTGCATATCAGATATTTACATTACGATTCATAACAGTAGCAAAATTACAGTTATGAAGTAGCAACGAAAGTAATTTTATGGTTGGGGGTCACCACAACATGAGGAACTGTATTAAAGGGTCGTGGCATTAGGAAGGTTGAGAACCACTGCACTAGGGTAATAGTGTTTTGTTTTGTTTTTTTAAAGTCAGGCAAAAGACACATGAATACTATACAGCTCAAAAGGAACTATTCAGGGAAACTGGAGAAGTCAGACATAGACTCAAAGAAGACCTTAAAAGACAACCAAAAGAAAGGGAAGAGAAAAAATGAAAAAAAACATTTCAGAGGCAAAAGCCCTTTGGAGAATGAATGCCAAATGCTACAATAAATATTCAGAGATAGATGGGACCAAGTAGAGAAAATCATACACAATGAAATAATAAAGAATTATAAGTAATATTAAAATATTAACACAGATATAGATGATCCAGCATATGTATAATATATACTTTTTTAAAAAAGTGAATAAAGCTAATTCAAGAAAAAAGAAAGATTAATATATGTATTTGAGTAGAAAAGATTATGTCACTTATAAGGAGACAAAACATCTGGATGGCCAGAGATTTTTCTGCAGGAAAACTCAATGCCAGAAACTCTGGAGCACTATTTAGAAAGTTTTAAAGGTTCTAAAATCCCAGGATTTTATACTTATTAAAGTTATTCCTGAATAAAAATAAAACAAACACTTTCACAAATGTGAAAGAAATTAGGTACCACAGGCATAAGATCCTGTCTTGATTAAAAATAAAATAAATAATGAAAATTAAATTCAAGAACAGAAAAGTGAGCATCAGTATTTGCTTATCATTGACTTTATTAATATATAAGAAATTATAAACTATGTATATTATGGTTTCAGAGAAGAATGCAAATTTTGTAATCCTTTGATATGTAAAAATAATATTACTAACACATATAAGGTATATGAGAGGAGGTGAGGTAGAAAAAGTGGAAGAATGAGGAATTTCTTCATCTTGTCTGTTAATAAATCAATATAACCTGAAATTGAAATATGAAGTTAAAAATGGATTATTACTCCAACCACTAATTTTTACTATAATTTTCTTTTAAGAATAAAATGTTCTTTTAGAAACTAGCATCTCTTGTCTTAAATTCAAGTAAAATAAATCTGAATATTAGTATTTTAAAATGCCACTATCCCTTATTATCTTTCTATTTTTTGTTTGTCCCTAACTTTTCAGGAGGAGAGAGAGAGAGAGAGAGAGACTTACATGATATGATTTCACCACCTGTTAATAATGATTTGGGGGGAGTTTAATATGACTTAAAGTAAAAGTAAAATACCCAGTGATTAAAAGAATATTGAAAAATTGGTATTCTTATATACTGTTGATGAAAAATTTAGCAAACTTTTTGTCATAAAATTTTAAATACTTTAGCATCTCATTTTCCTGTTAAATACATCTAGTGATTTATCTAGCCATCTTTCTCTACAGCTATATAATTAGGAGACATATAAAATTACTCCAAATTCTTGAGCCACGTTATCACTGAATAGCGAAATTACCTATTCTACATTAACTTGAAATGTATTTCAATTCTAAGATGCACATATTTTCACATCCATGAAATCCAGAAAAGCCATAATCAGTAATTTCTTACATTCAATAAAATGTAATTTTATAGTGGAAATACCGGAGTATTTCAAATAAGGGAGGTATGATGTTTAAAGAGACATCATAGAGGATAACTGTTCTACATACCTTGGAATTGACTCAGAGAGTTTCAAAGATCAAGAAGGAGAAAGTAATGATTTGGTTGTAGCAGAGGTTGCTTGTGTGTGGGTTCAATCAGATGAGAAAAGTGAGGGTTTGGGTTGGAAACAAAACAATTCCCAAAATCAGTAGCATTTCATTTGAATTGGAGTGAGACATTATGAGAACAGACTTGCAATAATATATCTCTCTTGCCCTTGGAACAGATTCTTTTTTTAAAAAAATATATTTTATTGATTTTTTTACAGAGAGGAAGGGAGAGAGATAGAGAGTTAGAAATATCGATGAGAGAGAAACATCGATCAGCCGCCTCCTGCACATCTCCCACTGGGGATGTGCCCGCAGCCCAGGTATATGCCCTTGACCGGAATGGAACCTGGGACCTTTCCGTCCGCAAACCGACGCTCTATCCACTGAGCCAAACCGGTTTTGGCCCTTGGAACAGATTCTTAAGACACATTGCTAATAGGTTAGAGACAGGAAATGGCCATTTTATTTTTTAACAGAATTTTAAGTTACCTTTTCACTCAATTTTAAAATAATAACTAAGGATTATTAAGGCTTAGATAATTTTTAATTTATATCAGACTCTCTCAATACAAAGCGGAATTTTGGTACCAAAATGCACTACAAACACTTTCTTTTAGTTTCTTTTTAAAAAAGTGTTAAATAAAGATTTTTAAGAATTGCCTTACCCAGTGAGTTTGACTGCATGTGTCCGAAACTTTCGATATTTTTCTGATTCTTCATTTGCACTGGTCACATGTCTATATATCCCCGACTTATAATGGAAGAAATCCTCATGGACTTGCATTATGGCTAAAATAAAACCCAATAGGAAAAAATGACACAGTTAAAAACATTAACTTTATAAACCTCCAGAAATTCTCACAAAACAACCAATGGGTAAATTGCCAGGAATAGAATTTAAGAAGCAATCTTGTAATACAGGCTAATTTTGATTCCTGCTTAATTTAATTGGTTGCAATATATTTTTTTGTTATTGTTGAACTTATTGGGATGACATTGGTTAATAAAATTATACAGGTTTCAGGTGCACAATTCCATAATTTATCATCTGCATATTGTACTGTGTGTTCACCAACCCAATTCAAGTCTCCCTCCATCACCATTTATCCTCTGCCTCCCCGCAACCCCTTTCCTTCTGGTATCACCATTCTGTGGACTGTCCATGAGTTTGGTTTTTAGTTTGTTTGCTCATTTTGTTTTTTTGCTTAATCCCTTCACCTTTTTCGCAAGGCAACCCTCCCCGCCTCCCCTCTGACAGTAGTCAGTCTGTTCTCTGTATCTATGAGTCTGTTTCTATTTTGTTTGTTAGTTAACCTGGAGAATATTATGCGAAGTGAAATAAGCCAGTCAGAGAAAGACAAGTGCCCTATGATTTCATTTACATGTGTCTGCAATATTTTCTTCTTCTAAGAACAACTTTTAGCTGTTTGAGTGTTACTTAAATTCACATTATACCTTTAAAACACCAGGTATTCTTAACTGACAGAGGCACTATTACGAGGAATTGAGTCTTTGCAGTGAAGGGCCTCGGCACTTGGCTAGTGATTTGCGATTTCTCCATTAACCTTATGCTTCACCACAAGCCTCTTACAACTCTAATTAAGCTAGCAGCACCGAGTGAGCCCAGCAAACCGGGCTTAAAGTAATTGTCCTTAATCCTTAGAAATAAATACAAATCTTTCCTTGGTGAGCTTGAATAGAAAGCAAACCCTTGGCAAAAGAATATTCTGACAAGATCCCAGCCTCCCAGCTCTGGAGAGCTGAGCCAATGCTGTATTCTTTAGAAAGTGAGAGCTTATGCTTTATAAAGCTCTCCTTCATTTCCTCACCTAGATTACTTCTTTTCTGTATTGTGGGCTTTGTTGAAGGGCTTGGGAAATTCAGAATAAAGACTTTAAACTTCTAGAAGATGTGAACTGAAAATATTTTTAGTTGGGGAAGATTGATAAGCCCCTTCATAACTATGTACCCTGCTTGTCTATCTTAGTTTGACATGCATTTTACATAACATAAGCATTTGATAGCTACTAACATGAAGCTTCTATTCCAAGGTCAAATATCACTTTTTAATGTTCCATTTTTATTCTATTTTTAATATTCCATGCCTTTTCTCAAAAGATGTTAAATTTTCTTTATCGACTTTAAAAAACATTCCCATAAGTTTTTAAGAATTTATATAACTGTGCTCTATGCAGATCTTTGCTTTTGTTCTATTTCCATAACCTAAACTTATTTTTCATTCTACATATTGTAGAAAAATGCACACAGTGTTATTTAGTCAGCATTCTGTTGCATTTTATATCCTGTTTTATTGAGACTGTGGGGAAATGCAACGATGGGTAGACATCACTTTGCATCTATAGCAAGATGAGTTAATTAGCATTTATAAAAATGGGAAGATATTGTAAACTTTTTTCCTTTTTTATAGAACCACTAGAGGCCCAGTGCACGGATTTGTGCACATTGGAAGGAAATTAATTAGAAGAAATATTTTAGAGGCCCGGGAGGGAATGTGGGAGATTGGCCAGCTGGGAAGGGACTGTGGGAGGGCTCCTTTAGGCCAGGGCGGAGATTGGCCAGCTGGGAAGGGACTGTGGGAGGGCTCCTTTAGAGGCCAGGGAGGGAATGTGGGAGATTGGCCAGCTGGGAAGGGACTGTGGGAGGGCTCCAGGACTTATCAGGCTCATCTTGCCTAGTCTCAATCGGCCAGACCCCAGCAGCAAGCTAACCTACAGGTCAGAGCATCTGCCCCCTGGTGGTCAGTGCACATCATAGCAACTGGTTGAAAGGTTGAACACTTAGCATAGTAGGTTTTTATTACATAGGATATAGGATTAGCTTCTGTAACTTTTCCAAACTCTGTTAACCATCATGAATAAAATATTCTTCATTGCAGAAAAAACACAGCCAACTAAAGAAAGCCATCAAAATGAACATGGAGGCAGCTCCTTTCTTCCATTCCTGACACCAAAACAGATTTGATGAACCCACAAACATCTAACGATTTTATTTTGAACCTGCAGCAAACTTATGCAGAATTGTCATATGCTTGAGGGCAGGATGAAGCTTTCCTTCACTGTGCTCTTTCACTCCCGGCTCAGGCTGGCAGGAGAGAGCTTCTCAACAAACATTTGTTCAATGGGAGTTCAATACTCTGCCTTTCAATTTTATTACTTTGAAATTTTACCTCTTTACTTTTGATTTGTTGTGTGAAATTTATGAACATTTAACTGTATGACCATATAAGAAACCTAAGGTGTTCTGTTTTAAATAATTATGATCCCAATTTTTTTTTTGACATAGAGAGAGAACTTATGATGGTAACTAGATCTGAAGATTCAGAGATGGTTAAGTAACTTGCCTAACGTCATTTAAGTAGCCAATGTCAAAGTTTTATTTTTAAGTGCATCCTTGATTTTAAATGCCTCTGCTCTTCAAATTTGTCACACAAACTCCACTTACTTAATATATGTAAATTATACATGTATTGCCCTTCTCTTAGAAGAGCCAACCAAAATGACACAATTGTAAAGAAAAATTTTTTTTCTATTCATTTGTTTCAGGTTTTGCTTAAGACCCAAGGATTTTAAAAACTAAAACATGTCCCAGGATATGTTTAGTGGAAGCTTCAGTTTCTCAATAAGTAGTAAGTGGTGATAACAATCAATACAAATTACTCCAACATAATTTTAAAATCTATGGTGCCTGCTAGATATTGAATCAATACTAATCAGGTCACCATTAACAAAAACAAGAACTGGCCAATAGTTCCTTAGGTGTATATCAAATATTTTAAATTTAAGCTTTGGTTTAATGTATTTGCTTCATCCCAGTACATTGATAATATCTTTGGGGACTTTTATTGTTCACAACCTATATTTCCACTTCAGATCTCACTAGATATGTTCTTCATGCCTCTCAAAGCAATTTATTACAGAGAATATACACTGTGAATGTATCTTTAGCTATGCCATTGGCGAAAAATAAAACTCAATAGGTAAGCAGAGAAACTGTATCAGAGATGATATCTTAAAACCAAAGTCAATGTACAGTAATTTTATTTACTGCTTACTATCTGTAACACAAATTGATCAAAATAGAAAGCCTTTTATAAAACACAAAATCCTACTGGCTTATTTGATTTGTTTTGAGTTTATAGAAAAATAAGTGTATCTACTTTATTTCTATTGCTAAACCTTGATTTTTTTAATCCATTTCCTGACCCATTTAAGCTGAAGGTGAGAAAATTTCTAATACTATGTATGAATTTTAAATAGGACTGAACAATTAAATGAGCTCCATCACTTAGCATTTTATGTTTGACTGTCTCCTTGGTTCATAATCATGTTGGAAAGATTTATCAGACTTTCATCAAATGTGTCATTAATATTTAAGAATTAAATTTATGGATGAATCTATTTTTTAAATAAAATGACAACTAATGAAGTTATTAAATGAGCATATTTCCCATGATTTCCCTGACCTTAGAACTGATGAACCCTTATGAACACCCTAAAAGTAAAAATTTTCTTCTTTTTATTAAGCTCTTTTTGCATGAGCTAAACTGTAATGTTCTTTATTAAAGGAATAAATAACACACAGCCATATTTCATCCAAGCATACCTTGAACTGGTCCATTGTGTATGATTTCTTTCATTATTTCAGTTTCCTAGAAGGAGAATTATCAATGAGCATTTTATTGTTATCAGAGCATTCTAACCCCATTGTCTGGTATATAATGTCAGGTGTTGTACAATCAATCTAGGAGGTATACAATCCAATGTGCCTGGACCACCTGCCATTAATCAAGCTTTGAAATACTCACATGTGAGATGCCCCATTGATAAAGTTGCTAAAAACAACATGCACCCATTTATTTCATTGACTGTAACACTGACAATAATGTTGGAATGGAGAGAAAATAATTATTTTTTATGGTCACAAAAATTAAGTTAAAACCATGTTTAATCATTGGCTTTTAATGCTGTTTCCATTCTTTTGATCACAGGAGCGATTCCAGATTCATGTTCAGTGGAGTTCCTCAGTGCAGATTTAACAGACAAACCTTGCTACCCACTGTGTAATGCAGCCCTCAGTAAAGAACCAGATTATTCATTCATCCGTTGATCTATTCACAAATGTCACAGAGCACATAGCACCAAAACCCAGAATAGAAACAAATATTGTCCCTGAATCTATCCTCAATGCATTTACATTTTGGTAGATGAGACAGCAACATAAATGATAAGTTCAGTTACAGAGACAAGCTCAAAGTGCTATAGATGCAAACAAGAAAGGGAAATTAATCCTACCTAGGAGTCAAGAAAATCTCACAGAGAAGGTAAAGTTTTGACCTGGACCTTGACACATACCTAGTATGTGGGATTTTACCAAATGGAAATAGGTGGGAAAACGATTTGAGTAAGAGGAATAACCATTTGGCTAAGTAGAGAAGCATAAATGAGCATGGTGCATCTAGGAAGCAGACAGTAGTCCTTATATCAGGAGCAGTATGAGTGGGTGGAGGGGTAGATGCTGGCCAGACAAAAGGCTGTAAAAGCAGCAGGTCAGAACCAAATCATGAAAGCCTGTATGTCGTGGTAAGAATATTGGACTGTATTTCACAGGTAACTGAAAGACAGTGAAGGTGAGATATTCTGAAAGTGAGAAGGTCTGGATAATACTGATACAATAGAATAAAATTTGCCAGTGCTGTTATCAGGAAAACTAGAATCCAAGGGCATCTTTTGCCCATTACAGCTATGCCTACTTTAATTATTTTGTGGAGTAAGGCAAAGAATTGATAAAATGAGCTACGACCATAAATAAAAAGTCAGTAAGAAAGGTTTAATTTAGTTTTTGCTTGTCACGTATATTAAGTAATTAAAACATAATTTAAAAACTCTATTTCCATGGGCATTTTTAAATGTAAGTCTATCATCTATACTGCTCACATTATAAAGATCAGAAATCATACCCAAACTGGAAATTTTTAATGGTCACCTTAAAAATATCAGAAATTATACCTGAAAACATAGCATTATCTTAAAATGTATAGGTTTAAATAGTTTTTAAATAGCTTTAATAACAGTAGAGCTATATATATTTTTTGAGCAAGTAAACCACTGTTAATTCTTGACATTCAGACTTACATTAGAAGAGACTCTGTATGGAGGAGAACATTGGTAGATCCTATTAGATTTCTCAATGTTGTTGGGACATGGCTTTGTGGCATGCCGTTTTCCCCGCCCATCAGACCTACTTGCCATGGCACAGGCATTATTGGTAGCATTTTGGTCCTTGAAAAGCGGATAGCATGCATGGGATACCAGTCTATTAGGAACAAGCAAAGAAGTAAGCGTAATACTTAGGAAAATGCTGTAACACCCTATCTATGTGCAACTTTACTGAAATAAACATTCTGATGCTTACATGTGTAACTTTCAAAATGTTGACTGATTCTGAAAGAGCAGTTCAGTGACATTACACTCTCCCCTGCCCCCCTTTTTTCTTCATTATACTTTTAAAAATCTTGCTTCAATCCACTTTAATAAATAACTCTACCTACATTACAGAATTTCCCAAGGATGAAAAGTGACTGTCAATAAAATCTGTGGTGATATTAATAGGGGAATTACTTCATTCTGCATCTATAATTATAATGCAAAAGAGCCAAGTTTAATGTAAAAAAAGACAATAAATTTTATTATATTTAGATGGGGTAGTCTGATAAAGTATATGTTTATGTAAGGGTATTTTTACATTTTTATTAAGTTATAGGTAACTTCTCATAAGACTTCAACTATTATTTGTGGCTCATGATACTTTGAAGAAATAGTATATGCTAATATAATTTTTAAAGTTAATAAAGTAGAAAGTTATCTGAATTACACAAAAGATAAAGAAAACAATTTTAATCATCTCTAATTTTGAAACTGAACATAAAAAAGTACAAATTATTTGGCTCCAAATCTAACATAATTCATTGATTAAAGAAACAGATGGTAAGAAAAATAAAACAATTGGTTTTATAGATATTCAATGTTGAATTGGCCATATAAGTATAAATCAGTTTAGTTCAAGAAAATGCAATAGTGTTCAATAGATTAAGGAAATATGGGCAAAGAGAGTAATGAAAGCAAAGCCATTAAAAACCTAACCACTTCAAAAAGACAACTTGTATTAAATGGGATAATGAGTGCAATCCACTGAATTGTGTTCCCCCAAATTCACCTATTAAAGCCCTAATCCCCAATTTGATGGTATTTGGAGATGGGACCTTCCAGATATAATCAGCTATAAAAGAGGTGAACAGAGTGGGGTTCATAATGGGATTAGTGTTTATATAAGAAGAGGAGCAGACAGGAGATCTCTCTCTCTCTCTCTCTCTCTCTCCCCTTTGAAAACATAGTGAGAAGGTAAGCCAGGAGGAGGGCTCTCTCCAAAAACTGAATTGGCTACACTTTGATCTTGGGCTTCTCAGTCTCCAGAACTCTGAGAAATTAATGCTTATTGTCTAAGATACCCAGTCTATGGTATTTTGTTATGTTAACCTAAGCAGACTAACACAATGAGATTTAATTGGGTCTCAATGATCATTTATATTTTAACCCCCTAAAAGACTGTAATTTTTATTATAATACAAAACAGAAGCCAAACAAGCACTCATGCATCAGACTAGTATCAGCCCAAGTAGTCCATTAGTCCATTCTAAGCACTATCTTATTAGGCAAAACATGTGAAAAGAAATTTTTAAAAGAAATTTTTTGCCACTCCTCAATATCTGACCCCCACTCTTTCAGAGCATATATTGTATGTATGTGTTATATAGCAGGTCCAGAGTACTCAGTGAATGAGGGGAAAAAGGTGAGCAGCACATATGTCTACTACTAGATATCACCTGCAGTTTACGTAGCCAAATAATTCAGCTCTTAAGTAGATGAGCTCTCAAAGTAGGTTATCAGGATACATGAGAGTAAAAATGCAAACTGTCTTTCTTCATCAAATGGAATGGAGACAATTAATGATATTGATGAATAGAGGCAATTGTAAATTACTTCTTTATTTTATTCATCTGATTCTAAACCTAATTTATCTGACATCAATTCATCTACCTGGGTAACTGAAAGGTTCAACAGATGTATCAGTGATATCAATTACTCTCTCTCTCCATTTGGCTCAGAGCAACAAAGAAGGCAATGCTTATTTGAGTCTTTCTACTAATTTAGCTAGAAAGCATACATTCTTCAAATAATTGTTTCTAATAGTTTATAAACTCAGCAGATACCAAATATAGCATACATTTATATAGATGTATCATATATATTTGTACATTTTGCGTAAAAAATTTGAACCATAATTTTTTTCTTATTCTAACCTTAAGTAGCCCTCATAAGAATTCTAGAAATATATGTTGGGCAGCTATTTACCCACGTTTTCTCAGGTACCACCAAGCCCTATCGATGCTTCCACTGTTGCATCCATGGCGATTCTTGGGACAGCAAGAAATCAAATTCTGAGGAGACAGATTGGCTGTGTATCGGCCCTTAGACTGAATTGCTATTCGGTCAGCAGCCACACCTGTTTCAAATAAAACATTGATTAATATTCAAATGGCACATGGGATTTCTAATAATTTACATACCCTTTTTAATTTGAAGACTAAACTAGTCTTCTAAAATTTATGTAATTTAAAATTAAGGCAAAATTGTGTTAATATATTTATGTATTCCAATAAGTTCACTGTGTCATAATTTCAGCCATAAGTTTTATGTGATTTTGGTATTGCCCCATTGTCTTATCAACTTCAAAGACTTTTCTAGTTCCTTGTTTCTTGCATGTTCTATATACTTCTGAATTCTTCATTAAGAAATCTGTCAAATGAAACTCCTTGTGGACCAAGGCTGTACGTTACTGACATTTGTATACCCTGCACCTAGAACAGTATCTTAAGTATAGTTATGGATAATTATATATTTTTGAAATGAATGTAACTAAACTAAGGAAATCAGAAAAACTGATTATAGAAATATTAATTGGAAATTCATCTATGTTAATCTGATATAGTGGAATAAATCAAATTTCTGGGTTTTTTAACTGGTATCTAGTTTAACTGTCTATAAGACCATTCTTAAATTAATCCAGACTAATATGACTCTATCTGATAAAATATCTAAAAGCTACACAGCACACTTTTATGCTTGTAATATTCTCAAAAATCATGATCCTAATCTTATTTCAGTAGATGTGGAATTCATATATATATATATATATATATATATATATATGCCTTTTATTATTGAAACTTAGTCTTCTGTTTAAATAATTTCCTAGCTTGGCCATCATGAATCAATTTATCCCTTTTCCCAATACATATTTATTGACCACCTACTAAATGACAGATGTAATATATGATAAGACACAGAGAGTCATAACTAATCAACCAGTACCAGAAAACTATACATGTTTTCATTTGATCATGCTACCATGATAAACTAATATGAGTAATGAGATCATGAAAGTAATTGGGGAGGATGCCATTTTGGCACACATTGTTTGTTGTTGCCTAGTATAGTCTCAGTCTATGTTCAATCTTTTACTTTTAATAGAAGGCAGCAGAGCCATAGCCTTTCTTCTAACCATCTAATTTTCTCAGAAAAAGTTATCATTTCTGCTCATTAAAACTGGGTACTAGAACCCTTCAAAATGCCAACTTAGAATTATTCTAAAATAATTTATTTTGAAATGATTCATTTACATATACATTTCTGTACATACATGGCTTTTATGTAACTATAGCATATGTACATCTCCATAGTAAAATTGCTGGCACATTTCAGTTGCTCAATATGTGTTCCCAACTATTATTGTGTTAGGATATACTTCATAGGAACAAATAACATTATACTACCTTCTCTGCTATCCTCAAGAAAATAGTTCCCTACTTCATAAAAGAAAATAGAAAGCCTTTGATGCTTTGACTTTCAGTACAAGGGTTCAGAATCAAATATAATTTTTTGAAATCTTTGGCTCAGAATATACTTTACAATGTAGAGAAAAGAATATTCAAGAAGTCAGAAACTTGACTTCAATGGTAGCTTTTGCTTGGCTTTCGGCTCTGGGTGAATCACTTTATCTATATGTGCCTCTTATAAAACCAAAGACTTAAAAAAGTTGACCTATAAGATTCCTTGCCCCATGAATCTGGAGATTTCAACTAAAGGACAAATATTTTAAGTTCAGATGGTATGCAATATGTTGCTCTTATGTAGACATTTCTGAATCTCACTGAAGGTTTGATCCAAATTTACTAGAAATACTTAGAAAAGGTCAGAAGATTAAAGAATGACTCAGTTCGACAAATTGTTTTTCACTCTGTTTGAAGACTTTTATTGGGCTTTACCTTTGAGACACACACTATTATTTTCTCTACTTATTTTATTCTGTCTCCAAATTTGACTTGTATCATCCCCACCATTTCCAACTCCTTCACATCTTCAGCCTCTGACATCTTGCTGGAATTTTATTTGACTAAATAACTACTGATTTATATATGTAAATATTTTAATGTCTTATTTATTCCATTTTACAGCTTCTTTTAAACACAATTTTTGTCATTTTTAACTACTACTTTCTGATAGAATTTTCTAGATCTTCACAAGAACCTAATTTCTTCTTTTCTTTTCTTAACACATTAAAAAAATTATATCATCAGCCTGGTTTTCCATGTGGAACACACAGGACACAAAACTGTCCTCTAAAATCCAGAATGTGCTGAAAACCCTCTCTCCATTGTTTTGGGGACAAATGCAGACTTAGTCCTGTACTGAGGCCTTCTGTGGGTCTGTGACCTAGGGACCCCAAACACACTGTCTAAATCAGCCTAGCATGTTTACTCTCAGCATTTCACCACTGACATCCGTCCTAAGACACCTTCAGAAATACTGGTCTAACCTAAAGTTAAAGTAGAATGCTTAGATATCACGTAGGAGGTGTACTACATTAACCACATGAACACAAAATGACAAATGATTTATCTGATTAAATCTCTCCCATCCATCCGGAACAGGGCTTAAAGAGATCCCCACGTGGATCCCTACTGCAGTGAGGACCAACATCAGATAGCCAGGGAGCTAGTAGGCAGTAGCATAAACAAAGGGAGCCACTCCAGAGGTGCCCTTGGCTACTGGCATTATTTCTAGAACAAACTAGCTGATACCTACACAGTGGAGCAATGTTATTCACACAAAAATATCAGCACTTTCCTGTCCTAAGGAATGCCCCTCTCCAGAGCTGGCTCCTCTAAGAGCCTAGGTACTTATTTCACAATGCTCTCGGTGCTTAGCCTGCCTTCAAGTACTCTTTTGTAATTACCTTTAAAGCTTAGAACATAGTTTCTTGATAGCAGCCAATAAGTATTATGTTAGTGTATTTAATTGCTGGAGTACAGCAAACACTCCTTTGAGGATAATTTGGACACCAAATCTTGGCATTAACTTGAGTGTTGATTTACTGGACTTCTGAGCTTATAGGAAACTCGCTACAAAAGATGTATTGTTACACTTTTGAATGATCAGCAACACTAATTTGAGAGTTATTTTTATTAAAAGACCAGTTATATTGCTTTGGACTCAGAACCTATATATTTGTTTTTATCTAAAATGAAATCAAACTCATTCAATCCACTATCAGTTCATTCTGTTCTTGCTTTATATCAAATTAGTTTACCAATTTAATATATTTTTGAAAATATTTTTAAAAGAATTTTAAAATGATAAGGATATGCACATACATATAAATATATTAGTATTATATTATGAATGAAAAGGAACCTTACACTCCTCTTACTATCTGTCCTTAAATCAAAGGACAAACAAATAGGCAACTTTTTTTCGTTGCTCTTTTGATTTACTCTCTATTTAAGACAAACCCTACAGACCAATTTTCAGAGTAAAATGGATTTTTATATAATGTTCAGGTTGCTTTCTCTGAAGAATAAGATTTTATTTTAATTCACCAAATATTAATATTTAAACATTCTAGATTTTAAAACCTTTTAATTACTGTCCCAGGATCTAGAGTCAAAGGGAGAATTTATAAGGAATTAATTAAAATGACTTCATTACTTGCAGTGGAAAAAGCCCATGATGCAGCACAATTTTTTTGATCCAATGGGCCATGAGTCCATCCAGGCCATTTGTAAGAAGCAACAAAAAACTCTGGAAGATCCGTTATTGCCGGTAAGGGAGCCTAGGGAAGAAGAAGAGGCAGAGGTGTCAGGCTGTTTCAAATGTACCCCGGTAATCATTATAATAAAATTCCATGTCCTTTTATAACATTTGTTATTGTATTTATTTTGTACATTCAAGTTTTCTCAATGACATCCCTGAAAAGCATTAGTTATGTACAATTTCTAATCCACCTATGTTTAAAATGGAAATTCCATGTGGGGAATCATAATAGTACAAAATCCTAACAATAATACACAGAATGCTTTTTCTGGGTTTCCACACAGTGCAATAATTATGTTTGTCATCTTAAATCAGAGCTTTGGTCATCCTTGTGAAAGATTGCATGGTGCTATTTAAATTTGAGCTCATAAATTATGTTTACTTTTATGTCTCTCCTATGTTGGAGAATGTGTATGATTCTACATGAAATTAATTTTGAAACAATGAATTTGTGGCAACTATTCATTAACATGCTTGGAACCCAAAGGAACATGATTTTTACACCAGTTATTAAGAAACAAAAGTGGGACAAATTGGTTGACATTTATAAAACCTTTGAAGATTAAAAGGACTTTGGGAAGTGTGTAATGCCAAACATACAATACCATTATGTCTTAAGAGCACATGTTAAAGTCCTGACAGAGTCAATTTTCAGCTGCTACCTTCCCAAGAAAGCAAATTAAATTTTATAGACCTTGCTCTGTTCATGTCATTCAAAGAAAATCTAAAACACGATGCCCTGTTCTTTGCCAAAACTTTGCCAAAAGAGTGATGTTTCACTTCCATAAATAATCAGAACTCAAACCAAATAAGGATTTGTCTATTATTTTTCATCAGTTATGCATACATACATAAGTACTGTCCCAGGATCCATAGTCAGTGACGCAGACCCATGCATCATTTTTGAGTCTGCTTTAAATTTTTTAAAGTATTTTAATACTCAACGTTTTCTTTTGTCTTCTCATTAGCTCTAACAGCAGAGCAAATATTATTCATTCTATTTCATGAATGAGGAAATATATTTTTAAAAATTAAACGCCATGCTAAGGCCTCTCAGTTAAAGAAGAGATAACCCTGCCCTAACTGGTTTGGCTCAGTGGATAGAGTGTCGGCCTGCAGACTGAAGGGTCCCAGGTTCGATTCCAGTCAAGGGCATGTGCCTTGGTTGTGGGCACATTCCCAGTAGGAGGTGTGGGGATGTGCAGGAGGCAGCTGATCGATGTTCTCTCTCATTGTTGTTTCTAACTCTCTATCCCTCTCCCTTCCTCTCTGTAAAAAACCAATAAAATTGTTTGTTTAAAAAAAAGAGATAACCCTGAAACTAGACCAAGGTTCTAGAATTCTTAACACTATGCCCCATCTAGCATTTCCCTACTATATTAGGAATACACAGAAATTTTGCAAAGAAGTAAAATGTCTATATTTAAACATTTTGTAATTGTGCATTGATCCAAAATCTTGCAAACAAAATTACTTCTGATAAGTATATAATACCTTTACAGACTACAGTAGCCCTAGCCAGTTTGGCTCAATGGATAGAGTGCCGGCCTGCGAACTGAAAGGTTCCCATGTTCTATTCCTGGTCAAGGGCACATGTCAGGGTTGCAGGCTGAATCCCCAGTAGGGGGCGTGCAGGCAGCAATCTATGATTCTCTCTCATCATTGATGATTCTATCTCTCTCTCTCTCTCTCTCTCTTTCTCTCTCTCTCTCCCTTCCTCTCTGAAATCAATAATATATTTTTTAAAAGACTACAGTAAAATTGAAAATGTACATGTCTGCTTGAAAATGTATCCCCCAAAATATTTATAAATGTAAAATTTAATGAGAAAGTTCAGTTTTTATTTAAAGAATTGTTATTACCTGATAAAAAAGAGTTATTAAATCTTGATTTCCATTACTACAAACACTGCTGTTTAGATGATAGAAGAAAAGGACAGAAAACATTGAACAGATCACAGTGGAGTGCCTGCATAGTAACTAGAAGAGCAGTATCACAGATATCCAGCTGATTTTAGAATACTAAGCCAGTAGATTAACCACACTGCAAAAACTTATAGTTGGAGAATAAATTTATTGCTCTGAGTAGATAGTTTCAGAGATATTGAACCACTCTCCAAGGGAGTCTTTTTATGGACAGAAATACAGTAGTCCATCCTTATCAGTTGTTTTGCTTTTTGCAATTCTGGTCACCCAAGGTCAACCATGGTGGGAAAATATTACATGGAAAATTCCAGAAATAAACAACTCATAAGTTTTAAATTGCATGCTGTTCTGAGTAGAGCCATGAAATCCTGCATTGTCCTGCTCCATTCTAACTGTGCTGTGTATCACCCCTTTATCTAGTATATCCATGCTGTATACTTGCCCCTCCCATTAGTCATTTAGTAGCCATCTTGGTAATCAGATCAGTTATTAGTGATAGAGAGACCACATTCACGTAACTTTTATTGGAGTACTAGAGGCCTGGTGCACAAAAATTTGTGCACCCGGGGTCCCTCAGCCCAGCCTGTGCCCTCTCATAGTCTGGGACCCCTGGGGGGATGTCCACCTGCTGGCTTAGGCCCACTCCCGGGGGATCGGGCCTAAGCTGGCAGTCAGTCATTCCTCTGGCAGCCTAGGAGCCCTCGGGGGATGTCCACTTGCCAGCGAGGACCAGGCCTAAGCTGCAGTCAGACATCCTTAGCGCTGCTGAGAAGGCGGGAGAGGCTCCCACCATCGCTGCTGTGCTGGCAGCTGGCAGCCTGGCTTATGGCTGAGCAGGGCTCCCTCTGTGAGAGCGCACTGACCACCAGGGGGCAGCTCCTGCATTGAGCGTCTTCCCCCTAGTGGTTGTTGTGGGTCATAGTGACCAGTCATTCCCAGCTGTTCTGCTGTTAGGGTAAATTTGCATATTACTCTTTTATTATATGCCTGGTACATGGGTGGGGGCTGGCTGGTTTGCCCTGAAGCGTGTCCCGGATTAGGGGGGGGGTCCTGCTGGGGAGCCTGGCCAGCCTGGGTGAGGGACTGAGGGCCATTTTCAGGTTGGCCAGACCCCCTTCAGGGTGGAGGTCCCTGCTGGGGTGGCTGGTCAGCCTGGGTGAGTGGCTGAGGGCTGTTTGCAGGCTGACCACAGCCCCTTCAGAGTGGGGGTCCCCTAGGGTGCCTGGTCAGCCTGGGTGAGGGGCTAATGGCTTTTTGCAGGCTGGCCACAGCCCCCAGCCACCCAAGCTCACAGCTTTCAGGTATCTTGGATTTATTTATCTTCTATAATTGAAACTTTGTTGCCTTTAGCGGAGGCCACAGCCAGCCATCAACAGGGCAACCAAGCCTTCTACTTGCTCCAGCTCTGTGGTTGCTCCATCACCAGGGCAACCAAGCCTTCTGCTTGCTCTAGCTCCGTGGCTGCCAGCCACCATCTTGGTTGGGTTAATTTGCATATAGTCACTCTGATTGGCTGATGAGCGTAGCTTGGGGTTTAGTCAATTTGCTTGTTTCTCTTTTATTAGATTAAATATTGTCATAAATTGTTCTATTTTATTGTTAGTTATTTTTGTTAATCTCTTGCTATGCCTAATTTATAAATTATAAATTATTGTTGGTATAGTTATAGTTTCAGGCATCCACTGGGGGTCACAGAACATATTCCCCATGGATAAAGGGGGACTACTGTACACATTTCTTATTCAATCCTCATACCTTCCAATGTTATTATTGGCTTATAGTGGGCTTTTAAGCATTTACTAGTATAATACTATGTAGCCTCAAGTTTCAAAAAAATAGATGTCAGTTATTTTGATTTATCACTTTATAATCCCTATTTAATAACAGCTAGGATATTTCCCTTCTCCGTTGAAGCAATAAAAATATAAACATTACTTCAAACATACTCCAGCAGGATTGAGTCATTTAGAATTTGCCTTCTACATTCTAAAGCCTATCAGAGAGCTTTGTGTATGGGATGTATTCAATACATACCTGGTAATAATAAGAAGATACCCACCTATCTATCTAGTAGGTTTCATCCCTTTAAAAAAATCAGTTTTCTTCTGTGGGCACATTAATAATAATAATAATAATAATAATAATAAACCAGATGCATTTTTTTGCTTTTATTAATTATTGTTTAAAAATAAAAAATCTAAATGACTAACCCTTCTCAATACACTGAGCAATAGAGAAACAATAAGCAAAATAAAATTTTTATTTAAAACATTTTTACCAACCCACTAAGCCAGATCAACTTATCAGGATCACCTATTAGATCTTTAAAGATTTTTCACTACTTATTTAATATTTCTTTTCCTAAAATATAAGCCCATACAATTTGAGGCCCAATAGGCATATATTACCTTACATTGTTATTTGCCTTATGATATCAGAAAATCCTATCTAATAAAAGAGAAACATGGTAATTGGCATACAACTGCTACCCTTCCCAGTGGCTAATCAGTGAGATATGCAAATTAACTGCCAGCCAAGATGGCTGCTGGCAGCCAGGCAGCTTGAAACTAACATGAGGCTTGCTTGCTTCAGTGACGGAGGACTCCAACGTTCCCCGCTTGCCTTGCTGGCCTCTGAGCCTGCAGTTTAAGAAACATTGTAACAAATATAGAAGCTAAACAAAACCCCAGAAACCTGCTTTCAGAGAGCCCGGGATCTCAGAGCTGGAGTTGATACAGAGTTTCAATTATAGAACGCAAACAAACCAGATACCAACTTTCAGCAGCTGAGGCCTCAGACCTGGAGCCAAGCCTCAGAGCTAAAGCTGGCCCAGAATAAAAAAAAAAAGAAAAAGAAAAAAGGAGCGGTTGGGAGCTTCAGTTC